CTTCCGTAGTGATACTGCCTCGGAAACCCAAGGAGGGGTCGCTATGAGTCGGGGCCAACTCGACGGCACATAACAACAACAACAACAATACAAAGAGACAAAATGGAGACACTTAAACATTTCCTGACTCTAATTATTCTAAGCTGATGTCAGGTTGGTTTATAATTTGACTTTCTTTTAATTTTGTTACCTATAATTAGAGAACAGGTAACAAAATATAAAGGAAGTTAAATTTTTGATAAGGAGCTCTGATGGTGTAGTGGATAAAGCTTTTAGCTGCTAACCAGAAGGTCAGTGGTTCAAATACTGCTGCTCTGTGAAAGGAAATAACTAGAGAAGGAGTTCTGGTAGCACAGACATCTGACTGTTAGCCAGAAAGTTGGTGGTTCAAATCCACCAGCCACTCTGCAGAAGCAAGATTGGGCAATCTACTTGTGTAAAAATTTACTGCCTTGGAAAGCCAGTGAGGGTCGCTATGAATTGGAATTGACTCCATGGCAGTGGGCTTGGTTTGGGTTTTGGTATAGCTAGAGAAAGGAGCTCTGATGGTGTAGTGGTTAAGGTATTTGACTGCTAACCAAAAGGTCAGTGGTTTGAACTCACCAGCCCATCCACTGAAGAAAGATGAGGTAGTGTGCTTCAGTAAAGATTTACAGCCTTAGAAACTCAATGGAAGTCCTCTATGAGTTGAAATCAACTTGATGGCAGTGAGTTTGATTTTTTTGGAGTTTATAGATAAATAGATTAATTGATTTATGTATTAATTCAACAAGTATATGTTAGAACTGTTCCAAGATGTGAAGTTATGCAATGAATAAAACAGACAAAAATTCTGACTCCTGGCAACCCAATATGCATCAGAATAGAACTGTGGTCCATGGGATAGTCAGTGGCTGAGTACGTTAATCATTTACACCAGCCAAGGACTACAGTTGTTTACAGATTATTCTATTTAAGAGTTAGAGATGATTTTTTACTTAGTACTTTAATCTTCAGTTTATGGAAGATACAATCAAGTAACCACAGGGGAGGATAAGAGCATTAGATATTTTATGTACATTTTTCTATGCCCCACAAGTATGTAGTATTTTTAATCCCTAAAACAAGTCAATTCAGTTCAGTTCTAAATCTCAAATATAAAAAGCCTTAGTGGTGCATCCATTAATATTAATATATATGTATATATATATTTAGTCATAGGTCTTATCATGAAACTTTGCCTTTAGGTCATCACCAGGAGCTCTGGAGGTGTTCTGACTGTTATATTTATCTGTGTTTACAATAGGAATATATCAAAGCCAGGACTGGTTTAATTCGTTGGGTTGGACTGTCCCGTCAGAACCCTAATGGAGTCTGGATGTGGGAAGATGGCTCAGTTTTCACAAAAAACGTGTAAGTCTCTGGACATTCAGAATACATAGCACTACTAGCAAATTTTGTTCCTGAGATCCTCTTCCCTCTTGAGTACAATTTACTTAACAGTTACTATGGGTTATGTAAGCAGCAGCTGAGGTGCTCATGCCCTACTTCTAACAAGAAAGCACTGGGGTACCATAGTGCCTAAGGCATTTGACTGCTAACCAGAAGGCTGGTGGTTCAAACCCACCAGCCACTCCTTGGAAGGAAGACTGGGCAATCTACCACAGAGAT